AAAAAAAATTGTTGTGGTTTGCTTGAACGCTTACACTGTCAAGCAAACCACTTCTGAAGATGCAAGCCACTCGTGCTTACGAAACGTCAGGAAGCTCGCGAATTCTTTGATATTTGCATGGAAATTTTGTAAAAAAAGCCGAAAAACAATTGACGATTTGGCAACATCCAAATTTCCAGTGCGAGCTGATTAAAAAAAATCAGTTCCAATCAAAAAGAAACTCCTAATTGCGAGCCTCAGTTCTATAGACAAAAAATGTTTGCACCTTCAAAGCCTTCAGGGCATCTTATTGTTCCCCATTTGCAGCTGGTAGGCGATTTCGTTTCTTTGCCCGCAACATATCAAGACTCAAATGACCAAGATAATGTGTTTTCATTCTGAGGTTTTTTAATTTAAAAAAGCATCTAAATCAGTGAAGGCTCATCGAATTGTTTGTGGTGTTACCGGTAAACTCGGAGCAACCAGTGCGGTACTTATGGGCATGAGCCTCTTAAGGTGCTATGTTAAAAATCTAGGCATATAGGTCATAATACAGGACCCTTAGAATAATATATGGGCGATTCTTTGCACGCACGAGCACTCAGAAATCGCGTGAACAATGCTCCTAATGATTAGATTAAAACCATTATTATTGCCGATAACATTGTAAACGAACATTTTTGTTATTTGGACTAATTCTCGGGAATAATTTCAGATATTTTGGATGGTATCTCATTGGATAAACCCCACTTAATGTCGAATTCAATAAATCAAGCTTAGAGCTATCCAGTTTCAAAATTAGAACGCAAAACCGATTTTTATGTCCTTTAAGTAAATGACAAATAGAATTTGTCCATTTTTTTATTTTTAAAGTGTTTTAATTAACAAGTTCAAGTCGTTTAAATGGCCTATTTGTCTGCGTTTGCCGATGTTGCCACATGCAAAATCCGATCCTTCTAAATAGCGCAAATGTCTTTTGCAAAAATTACAAACGTCAACACGTGACTTTTTGAACATTGGCATTGACATTAATGTATTAGTGTTATGTCTTTCATTCGAATAAAAACACACTTGTGTCGAAAACGACTCGTTTTGCACTTAGTCCGGTAAGAAAAAGGCGGCGCAGCCAACAGGACAAAAGCATCGAAGCCCAGCAACATAGAAAATTGCACAATGTGCGCTTTTCCAAAGTCCATATCAAGCCCCAGCCTAGAACGACATAATCCTCTACTGCACCCATTGTGATATTTTAAACAACAGCCCAGTCATTTTCGAACCAGGTACGCCTCTGGGCAGGTCCACACATAAGTGCCTTCACTTTTAATTAAGTGTCAGAGGTACAAATGATTTAGGTTTGCGCCCCATGGTACCGTTTCGGGGCCTTTTCCGACCTGTTTCTCTGTTTTTTTCCTGCTGGCGCCCCATAGACCTGTTTTTAAAGGTGGGCCACGATGCCAAACGGACCAAATTGTCTATCTAAATCGGAAAATGTTTTACATTGTGTGCAGGCACTTTTCAGGTCACGAAAAGAGCCAGAAAAATACAAACCGGGCAAATAGTTGTCACACTCCCTCAACGTTCTCAGGCGATTTTCCGCTTTCTTATCTAGATGAAACAAGCGAGAATAAGCAGGCGCTGACTGGTTAGATTCTGACCGAATTCTCTTTGCCTCAAGCTTGAAAACATCTGGCAATTTGGGAAATGGAAACGCGCTTTTCAAGCAGTTGGGACTTTTCAGTGCAGTCGAGAACACACGAAGACTTTTCAACGTTGTTTTCACAGCTTGCTCGAATTTGTAAATGTGTTTTTCTAATTGGCTTTTCAATCAAGTGCCATCTTACAATTTCACCAATTGATCAACAAACATGTGGCTGCTCATTATTTGATTGACTTAAGCCCGTGTCCCATGCATCCGTTTGTACGATGATACGATGGTACGAAAGTGTTTCTATTGGTTGGAGATCTGTCAATTCGTCCGTCGTCGTATG